TTTTTTTTTTTAAACTGGGGGTTTCGCTCCAAGAAGTCGGGTATGCATTGAAAAAAAAAAAAAAAAGGGGTGGGGGGGGAGAGGGGCCCGGGAAAAAAAAAAAAGTTTTGTGGGGGGGGGGGGGGGGGGGGGGCGGAGTGTGGGGGGGGGGGGCCCCCATTACCCCCCCCCCCCCCCCCCCCGCTTCGGTCCCTTGGTTAAAGCATACTTCTTGGTACATGTCACATCACTACATTGTCTACAATACCGTTTGTGTTGACTTTGACGAAATAGAGAACTTGTTTGGGATATCGTTCGCGGAAAATTTGTAAGACTTAGAGTGCTTTCCATTGACAGCGCTGCCAATGGAAAGCACTCTTAGAGTCATCTCCAAGATCCACTTTAATAAATTTGCGAATTAAGTTTTTGATCTAACATTGTAGCAAGGATGAGTGTCCTTTTCAAAATGAAAATAAAGTAGTTTCCAAAAAAGATATGACTTCTGAAAAAATGGCAGAATATTGGTATCAATCAGTCAGTCATATCATAGCTCTCATCGACCGTAGCCCCTTCCGACACCTCATGAAATATACACAACGTAGTTTTACCCTTTACTGATAAGGGTTAAGCACTGTTGAAAAACTGGTTTGGTTCTGTTTTGGGTTGGGGTTGATGCTATATGTACTTAAATTATTTCACCTCCATTCAGCAAATCCTCAGTGGTCTAGTGGTTAGCGTAGTATACTAGACTACCTGGGTCGTGGGTTCGAATCCTACTGTCTTCCGTATCAATTTCTTTTTCTTTCAAATTGAAGAGACTTGCACTTTCATTAACATTTCCGGCTTGATATAAAAGCAGAAAACAGTTCTACCTTGTCTAAATTTCGTGAGGGGAGAAAAAGGATACGGTCGATGGGATCTAATGCTGACCTATCCGGCAATCGAGGGAAATGTTTTTCTGAAGCTCGAGTTGATTCGTATGGAGAGTAACCACTCCTTAAAACTAAACATTCAGGAAAACCCTGTCATCAAAAATATAAAAACGTTGAAATGAAATCATCCTTTCTTCTCCTTCTCTTTTGAAAGTAGGTTATATACCTATAGCCGGTTATTTTCCATAAAATAACTGGGGTTTCGATCTCGCATGCAGCAATAAAAGCTTGAGCTTCCAAAGCTTTGACCTATTAACAAGACTTTTAAAAGTTTATACGAGCGAAAGAATTCAACTTACCGTGGTGTTTTCCCTTCGAGCAATGAGTGTCTCCACCTCTCACAACCTTCATATTTCTTTCCGCTTCCTTTTTTGCATTTGCCGAAGTACATCAATGCTTGATACGTTATTTAAAGTAGCGTAAAAACCTTTCTCTTATCCCTCTCTAGCCCCCATTTTGATTCAGAACAAAAAGAATGTAGCCGAGCTGGTTCATGGAGGATGGGGAGGGTTTTTTTTCATTTTCAGTTGCCCTTTCAGCATCCAGCCTTCCAGGGGGCATTTTGAAAGTGCCATAAGACCACACTGGTAAATTGTGCTGCCAAATGAATTTGACCATGAACGATACTATAATGGAGCTTTCAGTTCGTGCATGTAACAGTGACTTTGTCCCAAAGGTATTGCACAGAGAGGAGCCTGGGGCTAGAGTTTGGCCCAAATTGATGTTAAAATTACAACCCAACACAGTCTTTTTTTTTAATTTTCAGTATATTCACCTGCCCTCTTGCATAACTTCCATACCTGTACCACTGTTTACTTCAGACACCCAATTATCAGAATCAGTTGAGAAAAAATTGGCCTATTATGGTTTATTGAATTTTTGGAACAAACACTTCATGCCCCTCTAAGGCGATGCAAAATGAATTTTGAGCATAATTCAGGCCATAAACAAACCAAATTGTTGCAAGAAGCTCTTATTCTGTATTTGGTTAGTGAAAATGAATTGTCAAAGCGAAATCAGTTCCGTTGTTTGGAAATACCCCGACTCACCTTAAAATTGATCTAAAACGGGCCTCTGGTGAGCACAACAAACACATGATTTGGCAAAACAGGGGTGATTTTTTTTTCTTTGAAAACCTAGTAACCATCATAGAATACAAATGATGATGTTCTGACCTAGATATGACGATCTTTCTACAAGATGCATTAAATTTTTCTCTGATTAATATTCAGTTTCATTACTTTCATGTCATATTTCTAAGCATTACTCTGAAGTATGGAAAGTCACCATATTTTGTCAGGCTCATTTTTTACACATTTTTACCAGATAAAGTTAGCTTAACAAAACGTTCGTTAACATATAATCTTTGTCTGACCTTGTCATAGCCTGAATAGTTGTTGTATATACCCATCAGCAAAGGAGCATGACCATACATACATAGATTACACAAACAAATACGAGCTTTAGAACCTTTGATTTTTTCCAGTCCTTTAGAGCTTAATCCATCCACAGTTAGGAGAGCTGGATAACAAAAAGCTCTTGTTGCTTTTTTTAAAAAAAGTAACCCGAACAAAGCCCTGCATTGATATGATGGAATTGTTATTACACTTGTATATCAATTAACTGGCCCGCCATTTTGGACTTGGAGAGTGTGGGGACCGGACCGAGTTCCATCCAATCCTTCTCCCATTTCGCGGCAATTTTTTTGTTTTTCATCAGTCGTGTTCGAAATTCTAGAAAACGATCTGTTTCAGGACAATGTTACCATGGCACTTTATTCCTTTGGAGGGGTAAATGACCAGTGCGGTGCCACGTCATGGGCTGTGCAAGAAACAGGAGTGCTTCCTTTGTTCCCCCTGTCTTGCGATTGTGACATGACTACATGACGAAAAGGCAAGTAGAAGGCCCGGAGGGGGGGACTCCGCTTGTGAAAGG